TGATGGGTTACAGTCCTTACTAGTACAAGGTTGCTCTTTACTGATCTTAAACTAATAAAGACTATTGAAGTTATTAAGGTCATTAGTCTTTAGGGTTGTCTGGGCATGTGGGCGACTCTTTGGTCCCCCTGGATACAGTCAGGGCCAAGTTGCTGGATACAGTCAGGGCCAAGTCTTTGATTTCAAGCAATCTCTTAAAAAATCAATCACTGATAGGAATATATATTGCACACACACACACACACACACAAGTATATTCACATACCTATTCTGTGTATGAATATATATATAAATATATATTTATGAAAAAACTTTTTTGAGTGATATTCTGGCATCTTAGTATTGCCTAGTTGTTCTAGTGCGTGTAGACGTAGACCTTCCAGCACGCTGATTTTGTGCTGTGTTCATTCCCAGTACAGAAGTAGCTCCAAACTTATGCTATATGGACCCCTATAATTTCCCCTTKTTTAGATAAGCTGCTACCAGATGTATTGCTGGAATGAGCAGCCGTCCTCTCTTATAACTGCCCCCAACAGGGAGATGTGAGGAGCTGGACGGGGTTTGGGCAGCCTGCAGCCTCCTCTGCCTCGTTGTTCTGGTTCCGCACCCAGAGCGACTCGTCCTCCAACCGCTCTGGGGCCTCTTGGCCCTTCGTTCCTCCCTCCTTGCACAAGTATCAGGCTTCCTGCCGCCTGCGCCAGCCGGGCTCGGGGAAAGAGAGTCTCTTAGATGGGCAGGATGCAAGTGCAAAATTGTCAAAGTCATTTTTTTCCAAAAGAATTTAGGCTGGTGTTAATTAGAAGGGTTAGAAGGGTGTTAATTACCCACCCAGTTACCTTGGCTTCTCTACCTCTTGGTCTGCCTCAGCTGCTTGCTCTTACCTTTCTTTTACCTCTCTTGACCTTTTTTCTTTTTTTAGTAGTTTTTGTAGGAGGTGTATTGCCCTTCCCCCTCAACAAAAAAAAGTAYGTAGGTCTTCTGTCTGAACACTGACTTTTCTAATGTAGAGAAAGCGAGTAGTTGGTCTAGTGGCAAAGAGGCCTTTTAACTTCTGAGACTTTTTTTTAATGCACTTGAAAAACTTTCGGTAAGGTAARGAAATTGATTTTATTTGGAAGTTAATGTGAGCACAGAAACAGCAGAATTCCTGTTGGACACTTGGAACATGTTTTTTTCTTTTCTTGAAGGTACAGTTTTCTACTGTGGTGTACATCCATTTATAGTGCAAATAATAACCCTGTGGAAACAGTTGCTTAAGGTAACTTATGAGTGGTATTAGATAAAACAGATAAATTCTAGAGAAGAAAATATTTAGGTTTAACAGTGCAGAAGATGTGAAGT